ACATAATATGTGTGTATAAGATTTATTATATATAGGATTTAGTACATTCTTCAATGGAAAAAATTTCAAACTTTAGTTCAAAGTTTTATGGGTTTTTTAACCTTGTTTTCTAAATACAGAACAATGAATTCTCATTGGATTTACCCTGTTGCGCTTACAATTTAATCTATTTCCCAGGCAGAATACTAACCGGCATTTGCCATAGCAACCCATCCAGGCCCATAATGCTTCATGTCGAAGTTCTCATCGTTGAAATATTTCCCATAAATACTTGTGCTTCCGCTGCCATCTCCATTAACAAAATCACCACCTGAGGACATATTATGATATGTTAATTTCTATAGTAAGTTTTCCAAATTCCTAAATTTAAAAAGCTTTCGGATCGGGAATTCCCTCCCAAGATTGCTCACACTTTGCCCCTTTCAGCAGCCCATAGCCACGCCAACTTATGCAGTCGTCGGACACCCCGGGCCCCCACCATCAAGGACATCAGGAAAATCCTGGTGTCACCACTGAGTTACGGATCTAGAGAATATTTTTCCTGTAGGATGCGTATAAGTAATTTGCATATAGGTGGTCGATTCACGACCATGGGCTCAGCAGGACACACGAAGCGTGGCTCAAATTGGTATGGGACCGAATGTTAGCGCTAGTTTGGTGCTTAAAAACGAAACTTGACTAGCACATATAAGAGAATTTGTGGAAACAGAATAAAGTGGGCGCGGTTTCTTGTTTTGCTTGTGACTGTCTATTCGCCTATAATCTCAAAGCACATTTTAGAGCTAGTGACTGTAAGTATGCCCCCGGTGTATTTTGGTAATGCATGACCATCTTATATCATCACAATCTTGTTACGCTATGTCATATCATGTTATTCTGTTATGGGGTTACATTGTACTTTTCCAGGACTTCGTCCGGGTGATGAGAATCAAAGAATCGTCCGAGTAAATAGGAGATCCGGATGAGGAGATCCGAAAATCGTCAGGGTAAACAATTCTTCCGGCCGGGTCAGAAGAATTTGTGACGCTGTCGTCGAGATCCCCCACCCGCCTTGGTCATCGTGAAAATTTTGGTGCCACCCCTTGCTAAAATGTAAATAGAGAGAGCAGCTTAGCTCAGTCGGCTAACCTGGTGGTAGCATGGTGGTAGCCTCTGTGTGTACGTTGAACCGTGGAGATCTCAAGGTCCCCGGTTCAATCCCCATCGCTGCCTCTCTTTGTGTTTCAGCTAGAGGGCTGAAATACAAGTTACAATAGCGCACTGTCTTTCGGATGAGACGTTAAGGCCGTTGGTCCCGTTGTGCATGCATGGCCTATGTGCCATACGCAGTATACTCTTTGGAAAAGAGTAGCGGATTGTCTCCCGGCGGTGTACTATTCGTGGGCTATCCTTGGTGTTTACACCGAATATATCCAATCCAATGATAATAATTATAATCCATATACACTTTAATTTATTTCTCGTGTATTCGTTTCCAGACATAGTGAAACGTTCCCTTGGGAAGGCTTGAATTAAAAATCTCCACATCGCTGCCAGACAGGAAAGCGCAGTGAGTTTCAAGGAAAAGCAATCTAATTACTCAATTGATTGAAAGGAAGTTTTCTATTTGCGATGTATCTGATAGTGGTCTCTGTGCTGTGTAACCCAAATATAAGCTGAATATATATTTGTATAAAGTGTTTCATTTATAAAATTAAAGTTCACGATATTATTATTTGGACAGTGGCGTATGTAGAGTTTCGAAATTTGGAGGGTTGGGGGAGAGAAACGAGGGGAACGTTGAAATAAGAGAGAGTGCTATCTCGCAAAATAAGGCGATGAGGTGATTTTTAAATACTTAGGCCTACTTGTTTTTTTTTCTTCGAACATTTCATGTGGGGGCGCAAGCTTTTTTATTGGGTGGGTGTGGGATTCCACGCATCTCTTTAGAAACGCCAATGTATTTGTAGTCTGTAAATTAGTGGAAACCTAATTATTTTAACTGTCTCATTTAAAATGGTTAACTAATTTTTGAATGCATGGACAGTGGCGGCGGTAAGCGGGGGGGGGGGCAACCCCTCCCAAAAAAAAAAACACAGAAGAAAAACCACAACTCGTTGGGGAGAAAATTTCTTGTATGTATTTTCTACATATTAGTAAACTATCTATCTATGAAATCGATTAAATAACACTCTGAAACCCTATGCTTACGTCGGGACCCTCCCCCTTCCCCCCCACCTCCCACAAAAAAAATGTGTACATTGCTCCGTACCTTTCCCCTGCCCAGATTTCAGACGCTGCCGCCGCCACTGTCCATGGACCATTCCAATGAGTTCGCCCAATGTATATTGTTGCTAAAATCCAAGGGTAAACGTAAACTAACCTTGTATGATAACGCCTTTAGTTACACGATGGAATTTCGAACCTATGTAGCCATCTTTCCCACCTTTTAAAGCTAGCGCTGCAAAGTTAGCCACTGTCTTGGGTAACAAATCGCCAAAGAGACCTATTGTGATCGCTCCAACTGGTCTCCCACCTATAGAAATGTCAAAATGCACTTTTTTTGTAACCGTAATATCCCTCTGCGCTGCCTAGAAACATAATCAAACGAATCGTGTAAACTACTGTATCAATTGAGCATCACGAATTGGATATTTAAAAATCAGACCGAACATTGTGAAAGTATGTCGGTTATTAAAACCATGAATCACTTTGTCACAGAAATGTCACAAAACTTAATTACTGTACTTTTGGTAAACGTTCAAATACCAACATTTTGTATCAACTTGTCAAAAATAATTTAGAACATTAGTTTCGAAAGCTGGAATACAACAGGTCGTTTAATATAAAACGCATTGCTATGGTAATTGATCACCCTCTAAACACGAAACGCAGTCTAGAATAAAGGCCTATTAAACTTTAAGCAACGACAACCTTGGAACTCGGGCCATAAAGGAGGATGCCTGTGTTTTGATAAGGCCGTGATTTAAATGGTGTCGCGTTATCTACCCTCTCAAACCTTCGTTGCTGGTTTGAGCAATATGAAAATGATCATAAAGAAATACCACACACGCAATACAAAATTCAGATGTAAACGAACTATTGGCTGGCAGCTAATCATATTCATTTAGAGAGAAATATTTTCATTTTTATACCAAATTACATATTTAGCCAATTAAAAACGTCCGCCATTTGAACTGTGTCCGTAAAAACTCTAAAACTGCAAAAAAAAGTAGGTCAAATTTTGAATAAACCACCTTTGCAAGGAGGTATTATACCTCCTTGACCTTTGCTTGTGTTTTCAAAAGTTAAAATAACAACATGACACTTACATGGCAGTTCTGTAGCAGAAATGAAATTGCAAATCCGAAAAGTAGTGCGGACATCTCAACTCGATTTTTAAAAAAGAAACCAAATTAGACGCTTCAGCAGACGTCAGATCAGTGCGATTTCTACGTGGCAACTAAACTCTCCTGGCGTCACGCTCCAAATGTTAAGAAACTGTAATTAGGACTTCCGCTACCGATGCACAAGGTGAACTGCAGGGATGAAAATGCCAGCCAGCCAGTCCTTCAGTTCGCCTGGGGTACTACTACTCAGATGGCGCACTTCAAACAAGGATCTTTATTGATCACGTGTGTCGACATTTGACGTAATAATAACTCCATTGATTTCAAGTAGGAAATCCAAAATTCCGATCAGGAAAAATAAGCTATTATACTTATTATATTTTGTATATTTATCTACACTGTATTTGAATATTAGCCTATTATTTAACTCAGTTTTCTTCCAATCAACAGCGATGTTCACTCTCCGTAAGCATTTCCACATCATAGGCCTATAATACTGTAATAGGCCTAGACTCCAAGTATTGAAATGTTCGCCATCGTGTTGGGATTCAATATTTCGACATTAAATATGTCAAACCTCATTTGTCATTTTCCCTCAATTTGTTGTTATTGTGTTCGTATTTTTAATGTAATTTCAGTCTGTGTTCTTATAAAATGTGTAAAGAAAAAAAAAGCGTATTACTGTACAAAACTTTTGGTTCTGTGAAGATTCTCATTTAAATGATCTTTTTTTTGTTCTGACGATTGAAAAAAAAATCTCATTTATTTATGAGGATCCCTGGCCTACTCAGCTACCTTCAGTGGTATCTAAAAGGGTTACCCTCTATATACGTCTGTGAATTTAAAAATAATTATAATTAACGGATGGTCGTAGTTAAAGGCAAAGAACGACGAGTATGATTGTGCTGAATATAAACGATCGTAATAGCGGTTGTCAATCAATCAATCAATCAATCATCAAACCAAACAATTAAATGAATAATCAAATAAATCAACATATCAATCAATCAATCAGTCAACTCTTTCATCATTTCTAATTATTATATGAAGTAGACATATACATAGACTAGACCCAACGGGCCGGGGGTTGATACCGGGGGAGCTAGACCTTATTCCGCAGAATAATACCGTACCTTTCAATAAATACGCATTTGGAAAGAAATGACACACGTCGTCGCCGTCATCATCATCATCATTATAAATTGAAATAACAATGGTTTACATTAACCTACAAGTTGATACTCGTTATCTACAGAAACCGATAAATTTGTTCAAAGCTTTATATTTGGTATTAACTTTTACACCAGTGGCGGAGATCAGGAGGAAATTCTCCCCAACCGTCGGAGCATGGACCCCTGTCTTCCGACGCCACGACCAGGTGGTCGGACTGAAATAATAATTTACCGATCTAAACACCTTTATTTCGATTGCTAATCCCTATAGTGGTCTAAAAGCACAATTTCAGTCATGGAGAAATAAAGTTATAGATAAAGATATTATATTTGTCCATGCTATTGGGATGCGCGTATTGATTGACATGTCAGAAAACTCCAGGTGGAATTACCTCCACAATGAGGTTACGAATCCACTGTTGTCTACCCTTCTGTCTGTCTGAATGAATCATAAGCCAAATGGTTTTCCAAAAAAGTGCAGAGTAGCATCCGGGTATTGTATTAATAAGGGCACGAGACTCGTGTTCACGTAGTAGTAGATGCTTAGACCAACATATTGACCAAGCCCTACGGATACGTAATAACATGCTGTTTGAAATGATTCCTCAAATAATCGACATTCGAAAACTACCAAAAAAAAAAAAACGCATTAAATTTTTAAATAAATGTAATAACTTAAGAAAAGGTATTTTATTAACATGAAAAAAGTGGGGTATTCATGGCTGATAATAAATAATGTAAAGTTGTAATCAATTGTACGGTATTAAAGTAATAATGCCTAATAATAAAAAAAAACATATAGGCCTAATAATATTAATACAATGATAATACAATAAAAAATAATAATATAGTAATGCAATAATAATAATAATAACACAATAATAATAATAGAATACTGTATTAATAAAATACAAAATAAAATTGCCATTAATACTGTACATATTGCAAGGACTGTTTCTTTATCGTTTTTAGCACAACTGTCAGTTTTGAGTATTCATATCTACGTATGTATGTATTATATTATATTATATATATAATATAAATCAAAATAGCCATTAACACTGTTAAATTA